CGAGAAGCTCTCCGCCCCCCCCCCCGCCATGTCATCCTCTCTATCATCATTTGTTCCCGACGCCTCAAAGATTTTTGTCTTGCTCTTCCAGCCCGACCGCACACGCAATTGAGGAGACGTGGCCGCGGCAGGTGAAAGTTTGTCCCAACATTGCGCCCATGGCGACAACACACCCGACCGACTCTTCTCCCTGCCCGGTCGGCACCGGCTCCGGCTCTCCTTCTCGCCCTCCCTCAGCCTGTGCAGAACGTCATCAGGTTGTTTCTTTGGGACTGGCTCCCTCCCGCCGGCTTACAGAAAGCGGCAACATTTCCTGCTGCCCACTGTCACTCCTCTGCGTGACCTTTTGTTGCTCAGCACTCCCACAGCAAAGCCCGACATGAGCCAACGCTCGGGGAAGTCTTTTGCACAGGGTTCGAACAAAGGACAGATACAAAAAAATGGGAATGTCGGTCACGTCTGTGCGTGAAACGGCAGCGGCCGGCAGGCCAAAGGCTTTGCCGTCCGCAAGGCATAATGCCTCGGTGCCCCGGGTAACGGCACGCAGCGTCGAATCGTGTGGAGAGGAGCGCTTTTTTACAGTCGGGAGCCTTTTTCCGTGGTAACGCGGCCCGAAACGCTCACCACGACTTCACTCAAAACCCCCCAAAACATGCGGCCTGACAAAGACTGACTCGATTCACTTTCACGCGGTTCAGGTTGACTCGGCCTGATCTTTCATTGGTTCACACTTTTCCGAATTTGGACTCCAAATAAGTGTGGACATTTTGGTACAGACAGTAACTTATTTGGGTTTTTTTGTACAATGTTGCCTTTTTCACCCATTTATCCACATTCTCCAAGCTGCTTCTCCTCAGGAGGGATCTCACAGGTCTCCAACTCCATTCCTGCGTGTTTGACACCTGTGGCGTACGTGCGTGTGCCTCGTCGTGGCCGACGGCAGCTTCTGCATGAATGCGCTATTGTGTTTGACTCTTCTCTTGATTGAAAAGCGTAACGCCGACGGCGGCTCTCCTTGCGCGCACGCTAAGGGCACCGTCGTAATGAAACGAACGAGAAAACCCCCATCAAAGCAACCGCTTCCCAAACAGCTCGGACGCAAGCGATGAACTCCGACACCGTGAGAAACCGACGGCCCAGTTCAGTCATTGATGTTTTTCGTGGCCTCTTTCAAAGGTGGGTGCGCGTTTCTTACCGACGACAATAAGCATGACTCCGATGACGGGCAGCAGCGTGACGTTGAGCGTGCAGCACAGCGCCACGCAGGACAGGATGAAGGCGCCGATGAGGATGAGGAGGCCGAGGATCATCAGGGCGGCCACCGCCTGCGCCCACGCTGCACGTGCAACAGACAAACGCAGAGACTCGTGAGGACAAAAAAAATGACATCTTCTAAAGGCACGCCGCATGCACGGTACCGGCCGTAACGTTAGTTACGCCTGCGACATTGTGAGTTCGTGGAGCTCCAATGGTTGCGATGATGATTTATGGCCCTGGCTGATACCAAGCAAGGTCCGCCACACCCCACAACAGCACGCTCGCCTTCTGCGGCACCACGTGACGCACTCCAGATGGAACGCGTATGGAAGAGAAGGACAACTCTCCTCACGTGCTTTGCGGGAGCGAGTGTGAAAGTACGGTACGGTATGGTACACTTTTTGGTTTGTTTTTTTAGAAAATAAGATGTACACCAAAAATACTGTATTCATTGGTTGTTATTCTATCCTCACGCTGTGTACACATTGGAACCTTTTTTTTTAAATCACATTTTTTAATGTGAAATATCAAATACAATAGGTAAACAGATGAGCATTTTTTTGACATATATGGTATAACAAATACGAAATGTACACATTATAAAACCTTTTTTTTTTTTTAATAACTACTCTTAAAAACGATTCCAAATAAAATTAAGCTCGGAAACAAGTTTCAGGAAAATGATATTCCAGCTGTCAAAAAACGGTCTGTTTGCTTGTGACAGACTGCTTCCTGATAACAGATTCACCCCCAAAATGTTTGGTGTCCAAAAAAACCCCCATGCAAGTTGAATAGGTGCCTTGTTCTCACAAGAACGGTGAAAGAAAATGTGCGCCTTTCAGTGTGGAAGCAAGCCGCTTCACTGTAACCGCAGCACACATTCAGGCCAAGCCTTGCGTTCCGTCGACTTTGTCGTTAGTTCACGGATCAGCCAACACCTTCAATTATTCCTTGCCGTCTTCGTGCGCGCGCGTGTTTGTGCTGATGCCTGAGGCACGTCTCACACACGCACGCGCACGAGACGTGTTGGACAGGTCGGCTCTTCTCACAAACCTCAACAATCCCGTTTGGCTGACAATGGGCGACCAGGGGGTCTGTTGAACTTCTCGCCGATTCTCCGAATTGTACTCGCATGAGCGTGGCGTCATCAACTAACAACCCCAAATGATTTACCACCGCTTGGGAATATCCCTTTTTTTTTAGGTTCCATTGACCCATTTTGGTCAGACCAAATGTTGGTCCGGTGGTGTTGGTTCTGTCTGCAAAGCCAACAAGAAGCGGGTCCAAACAACTCAACCGGAAGTGGACTCTGCCCGCCGCGTTCGCCGAGACGTCGGGAGGAATATTCACGGCCGAACGACCACATCGGCGCCGCCGCGCCAAGTCCGGGCCCAAAGTGTCCTCTGTTGAGGGGCAGTGTCGTCGCGGTGCCGGGTGCAAAGCGGCGGAACAACGAAAGGGGACGTTTCGGAGGAAGCGTTCTTGAGGGAGACCGCGGAGGACTTGCTGAACGCGGACTCCCTCTAGAAACGAAACCGCCGATGTGCTGAATCGGGAGTAAAAAAATGCAGGAGCCGCGTGCCGCTTTGATCAGCCCGGGGCCAACGACCGTTTGCTACAGTTCGCTGGAAAAAAAAAAAACATCAACACGGCCGTGCAAATGCTGTCAGTTGAGCAACTGCTTACACTCAAATTGAATTGACGTCAAATCGGTAAATCATCGGTACCGATACTGTACCGGGGCGCCTGTACTCAAACTTACGTCGAACACTCCTTCCGGGTTGGAGGCACTTGAAGGCCGCGGGTCTCAACCTTGGTCACCTTGAGCCCAGTATTTCCCTTCGACTGCCACATCGCCGCCCACTTTTACAGATGTTAAGGGCGATTTAAAATCGGATATTGTCTGCCCTGAAAATACCGTTGGACCTGTAAAATGCACTCGCCAGCCCCAAATGATAACGCACAGCAGCACCGTAACATGAGCTGCGCGGAAGCTGCGATGTAACGCGATCAGACGTCGCACGTCGTCGTCATTGGTGTTGTTCGGGAGGAAAAGTTGGACTCCTTTTCGCTTTGAAAGCCCACGATCGTCGGAGGTCTGGGCTCGAGCGGGCATCGTGGTTTTTGTCCGTTTGTGTTCTCAAGCCGGATAGGATCACGGGGGAGGGGGTGTTGGGGTTCAGAGGATTCCAAAGTTTAGGCCTCCCTACCCCTCACCCTCAGGCTGAAGTGGATTCTTCTCGCGAGGTGTTGCATTTTCCGCCCAAGTACGCCCGCCCGCGTCGCGACCGCGAACGACGGCGTCGTCGCGCGCCACTTACAGAACTCCATCAGGGACTTGCTCTCCCACTGGTCGTTGCGTCCGTGGTACTGCTCCCACATGCTGGCGTAGTGCGTCTTGCCCTCCTCGTCCGTCACCCAGCCCGACGTGGCGGCGATGGCGATGATGTCGAAGATGATGGCGAAGAGCAGCAGCAGGGGCACGATCCACCTGCAGCGTGGGTAGGCGATCCCGCAGCGGAACATGGCGAGCTTCGGTCGAGTCGAGGAAGCGAGGAAAACGGGAGGCTCGAGCGGTCGGTCTTGCGCGGTTGCCTGCTTGTGGCGGTGTGCGGCGCTGGCTGGCTTTTTTGTTACCGTCTTTGTGAGAGAGGAGGGGAGGGAGAGGGTGGGAAAAAAAAAACGCCCCACCCGAGTTTGCAATGCAGCCGTCAACCCGGTTTGGGACGTACAGGGCTGGACTTGTCTTGCCTCGCAAAGAAAGCCCAACCCAGCTGAGTACGTCGGAAGGGATTGGGTCATGTTACGTCGTCACGCACGGATGTCAGCGCCACCGTTCGATCGCTGGGTGCTGGTGGTCATGGTCGTGGCAACCGGCGACCACCTGTTTCGAACAACGAAAACTGAAGCCGCCGAAGCAGATTTGAAAGGAAATGTTGTCGAGGTGACCCTGTTTCACCGCAAGATGGCAGCCAAAACGTTGCACGAAAGCAAGTTTAAGGGGCGGGGG